TTCTGATGAGCGATAGGTGGGAACCCTTTGACTCCCAGCACATTGCAAGCAGAGGCAGGGCTGTGATGAGGGGTCAGAGGCAGCTGGTGGGGGTAACTAGGGTGGATCTGGGAGTTGGATGGATCACAAGATAGAAGGTGTCAGAGATCCAGGACAAAGCCCCCCAACCAACTGCCTGAGTCTATCACTTAGCCCATCCATCACCCATCCAGCTTTGTGGTTAGCATAACAGTTGCTAGCTAATCATTTCATCATCAGGGATAATGGAGATGACAGTGAACACAGATGAGCAGCAAGGCTGTCTCAGGAGTATAAGGCCATACAGAGGGGGCTTTATGTCAGCTGGATGAAATAAGTAGAGATTTCCCTTCCTAGACTCATGACTGAATAATCTCAACGGGAGCCTTGCATTAAATGTTTACCTCTTGGAGGTACAGGTGACGTTTGTTTGAACATCAGTTAATGGTTAATGAAATGCTTTGAAATGAACAGCTTCCTTCGATTATAATTCTGAATGAGACTAACATGAATCTAAGGGGATTCTCCCCATATCGTGCTCTGAGAAACTCAGAGGAGATATCCGCCCTGATTAGGAGAATAAAAACTTGTCCAGTGTGAAGAAGATATGCTTGATATCCTGTCAGCTGTCCTAATTTCCCAGTTATCTTCTAAACATCACAAGACTCCAGATATGCATAATAAACACTTTCTGACTGTAAATCCGAGGGATTATGCTTAGGAAATGATATAATCTTTAAATTTCAATACTCAGGGGCAAAGTTCAGATAGAGTATTCTTCTCTTTTTGAGTGAGCTTTGTCTCCCAGTTCAGGTCTGGTGTTAGATACAAGCTGTCCTTGAAAGGATGTTAAGCCCAGCCTCAGCCTCGCTTCAGTGGGCCGTTCTGGCAGCTTAACTCCATAATCAACCTGAGAGGCCTCATTAGGGCCAGATCTTGAAATTAGATGACAGACGTTAGTTGGAATTGTTTGTGGAAATATGATGTGTTATACTGGATTTTTTATATAATGAAAGCTTTATCTAGTGTTCATTTAAAGGTGCAATGTGTAAGATATGGCCAGAATTTTAGTTTAAAACATTAAAAAACCCGACTAATATTATCAACAGAATATGAAGAAGTAACAATTCTGACATATGTGTTGTGTTGCAGAGATATCCACTAAACTAGTACGCTAACGACCTAGCCCCAGCCCGCCCTGTGTTGTAATACCACTTTATGCACAGGCCTTCACCCATATTTTCAGCTGGGGGATATGTGCGAACAGCGAGTTTGCTACGTTACACAAGCTCTCTTAGCTTTTTTACACAAAATAAACTTGTTCTAAATTCAACTTTCTCTCTTTCACCACACTAACTGCCTTGTTAACTCATTGTAACTATTCATTCAAACTCAACAGAAACAAACTAAACTCACCAAAACTGTTGTGGTTAGTCTTTCTACTGTTTCAACAATCACCAACTGTGGTTTAGTGGAAATAAACCTTTAATTCCCAGAGTTAGATGTGAAAACATGTTGGCTCTACATGCTGTCATTGTCTCTCTGTTGCTTGCTGGCACGGCAGCGATTCTGGTGCCCATTCTGGACTCAGTCAGATAATAGGCCCGCTAAGTTAGCTACACGGCTAACTGAGCTTACTAGTAGTTAGCAGCAGTTATGATCCTCTATTTTTTTGAGTATGAATTGGACAGGTGGAGAGTAGTCTCAATTTTTACACATTGTACCTTTAAATTATACTGATCAAAATTATTTCAAACACATATTTACACATGTATCCAGTGTATTTTAATATCATGTGTTTGTTGTACTTGTAACATTCATAATTCTACATGCAAATTCAGTATTATGAGATAGCAGTGAACAAAGGCTGGCATATTGTCAATCACAGGAAGCTGTGTCAGCCAGGTGAACGTAGCCAGTAACCTGATCTGCTGTTGACAGAACAGGGACAGGTGCTCCAGCCAAACTAATCCATACATGCACGCTAGACACAGGTCATCCATTCAGGCAGATTGATTTAAAGCTTAAGGAGACTACTCCTCAACAATCCCGGGCCTGGCCTTGCCTTTGCTATTGCCATGATAATTGCAGTAATGCGAGATGGCCTGCATTGGAAAGGGAAAGGAATGTTCACTGTTTGCTCAGCTAATGCTGAAAACATTTTGTCACACAAGGGACGAGGGAACATCTCTGGAAATGATACCTGAGCTTTATGAAGGGAAAATTAAATAGGTTGGCGGTTTGACATCTGAAGTATTAGATACACAAAAAGATATTTCAGCTTTATTTAACCAAAGTCTCAGTATATGGGGCTCAGGGAGGTTTGACAGCAGTGGGTATGGAGTGGATATTATTGCCATAGCTTGCATGGCCATTTCACATAATAGCCTCATGTAAAAAAAAAAAGAAAAAACATATAAACCAGAATTCACTTTGATTCAGTGTTATTATCAAACACACTCCCATAAGGCCCCAAATGCCAAACAAAGGTTTACAGGCCAGGCATCTGCTGCTCTCTGATTGGTTGACAAGCCAGCAGCAGTCTCACCTGTTATCCACAGCCCAGTGCATGGTAAACACCCTCAGTCAGAGCTGCGGGGAGAAGGAGCCCATCTGGTCAGCAGCATTAACAACCAGCTCTTTAACAATGGCTTCCAGGAAAAGGGAGAAGGGCACAACAGCTAAATATCACCCAATAAAAACAGGCTATGCATGACATTTAGCGCCTGATGCAGGGCTTAGCAGTATACAGGTTACCTACTGTCTGCACTAGCCCCTGGCAATAAAACAAAAGGCAATCTCACAGAGCGGGGGGGATGCTGCATGTAAAGCCATCATTTGTGTGTGAAGATGTAGACAGAGCATAAAATTAAAAGGCATGAATGGGATCATTTTCAGGGAGCTTTTATGGAAACTTCAAACAAATAAGCAGGCACTATGTTTAGTTATGCAAGCACTATTATTCTCTACTCTTTGTAGCCATCCTAATGGGAAACTGTTATTGCATCCAAGGAGGAAGGCACATGACAGCTAATTTTCTTTTGTGAAGATTGGATTTTTTTCGTGAGGGATGTAAATAAGACAAACATGAAACAGACAGGAGGAGAGAGCAGTATTCAAAGATCTAGCTGTCAAAGAGAAAGCTCATTCACTGCAGCATTAAAGTAGTTATTTGACTAAACAGTGCCATCTTGTGTTCAATTGTTCAACTCAGGAAATCTGGAAGGCTCAAATGACAGATGGAGAAAACCAAATTGTGGTAATTTTCATCAAAATAACTCATCGTTGTTAACATATCCTTGTTATTGACAACATATTATGAATTCTATATATTGTGCCATTTTCTGATCATTTTCCTACTTTTGTACACTGTTCAGTCCTCTAATTTAGCTTTTTGTGGAGCAGTGCATTAGAACAGGACACATTAGTAACCCTCATCCACAAAATAGACTTAGAAAACAGGGGTAACTCTGGCTTATTAGATGTTTGATGGGGCTCTATTTTTACAACCGCCTCCACCTTGCATGCAAAGGATGGAGACAAAGTCTCTAAATGAGATCTAGGGAATACAAAGAGTGATGTGAAGATAGAAAGGTTCGGGTGGAGTTTGAACAGCAAGCAATGGGCTCTCTACAGCTGCTGGCACTAATGAGGATAATTACCCCAGTAATAACATTAGCCTATCTGAGGGAATGGAGGGGAAGGACAAGTGGTTGTGTTTGTGTGTGTGTGGGTGGGTATGTGAGCATGTGTGCGTGCATGTGGTTGCTGTATGTGTGTGTGCGTGCATGGCCGTGCGCGTGCCTTTCCTTCTATCTCACTTGCAGTCTCTCCCTCATTCCCTGAATCTCAATATCTCTTTGTTAGCCCACAATAATTGTATTTGGGCCTCATATCCGCCATATCAGATTCGAGTTTGTACAAGGTAATTAGCAGGGGAAGGGAAGCCTCCACACCAGGAGGACAAATGCCCCCATGACATCATTCTGGCTCCACTCAGGAGGGGAAGCTTTTTTTTTTCTCTCAACCTCCTCTTCATCTTTCTTGTCATTCGGCTGTCAGAAAAAGAGCACCGAATAGGGGCAATAATGTAGTGGCAAGCGAAAGTTGATGACATTGAAAAGGAGGAGAGTTGGGATTAAGAAGATAAAGAAATGAAGAGATAAAGGAGAGAAAGGGGTGGAAAGTGATTTGAGATGAGATGGAGGGCTGTGTTTTCGCCGCAGGCCTGTAATCTCCAATCAGCTCTGACTAACAGACAGCAGGGGGAAAGTTCCTCTGCGTTAATGCAGCTTGCCTTTCAGAAGGAGCCGGTGTATCCAGCTGGGAGTCGGGGGATGAGGGGAGGATTAACTGGCACTCAGGTGGAGAGAGATGAAGAGAATCAGACGGAGACCCTGTGGATGGTCACACCCTCTCTCGCTCCATCCATCACTCTTTTTTTCCCTCTCAATGAACAAATGCACTGTACTCTGTGTTTTCTGGACGGGGTGGTGAAAGCAGCAGGAGGTGATAGAAGCTTTACTTTAGGGGTGACTTGTGTCTATGTTTGTAATTGTAATTTGTATCAGTTGTGTCAAATTAAATGCTTTGAAGATGAGTCCGCAGTTTCACTTGTTATTGCTCTCTTGGTGGCTTTATGATTTGTGATATGGCATCCATGATGAAATATGATCTAAATGTTCCGTTAAAGGAGTATGCCATTATTCAAGGGGTTCTTGCTATTATTATTCAGTTTATAGTTGTCATACACATTTAGTAAACTCTACACAGCAATTAACAAGAGTGATTTATTTGTGTGCCATGGTATAGTAAGAAGGTGAATAGAAGCAGATAGAATGTTTAATTAAAATTAAGACAGAAGATAGTTATTCCTTTTGAAACTGAGCAGTGAGCTGTGACTGACAAACATCATGCCCTTTTATTTAAAATATGTGAGCTGTTCCTTTATGATTTTTGTTGTTATGGTCATATAAACTGACTTAAATTAATTCCAGGTAATCTCCAGACGCCAGCTGTCCATCACCACTGTCCTCCTCCAGATGATCAATGTGCTCCTGTCCGTCCTCATCGTGGCCTTTCATCCCCTTCACTAATAAAATGATTGAGTAAGAATCAACATTCAAAATAAGCTTAAAAAATAATGCAGTGAGTTTGCCGTTCTATTGCGCTGCTTTAGCACAGCGATCTAAGTCACTGTTGACTGCAGCGAACAGTCTACAGCGTAATGCTTAGAGACTCACCCTGTCTAAACACTGTGAGCTGTGCTGATGCAGACGTTTCTCCCAAGGCATTGCGGGAGATGCAAGAGTAGACCCCGGCGTCGGAGACGTGAAGGCGCTGTATCTGAAGCCAGGTAGAGACCATGTAGCGCAGGGGACCGCCTCGGGCCTGAAAAAAATGACAGGATTAAATCTCAACAGATGATATAAATCTATGTATGCATTAGACTTTTGTGTGCAATATGGGTGGTACAAGAAAGCCATTTAGTTGCACTCTTACGATCATTACTGATCCTACATTTTCCATACTGCAACTACTTTCAGAGTAATTTTTGACTTTGGAAAGCTCACTCCAAAGCTGCAGAATATATTTTACTATTTTCACAAGCTGAGTAGTACTCCTCCTGACGAATTAACTGAACTTCATGTGTAAAATCAGCTGTTAATCAAAAACGTCTTTATCTATTAAGCAAATTGGGACAAAAATCGTACACCCAAAACACAGTTCAATCAAAGTATACACTGTTAATGAAACCTATGGTGATGCATAATAACTGAAGCTCTTAACAAACCTGGACAGAGATGTGAGGATCATCTCCTGGCAGGAAATTGTCACTCCCTGTCTTCCTCCAGCTCAGGTTTGGAAGAGGGTAGGCTGAGACCTCGCAGCCGAACACAATGTCATTCCCGGTGTAGTTGGACAGGTTTCTTGGGCCTCGAAGGATACGAGGAGCTGTGGCAGAGGAAAAGGAGCACCTGAAGGTTTAATACTAGGACCCCAAAAGTTGTCTCCCAACAAGACAAGTATACACATGCATTGAAATCTTTGAAAAATGACTTTCCTGCTCTCATGTTGCATGTAAGAAAAGAGTGCAGTTACCAGAGTGGCAAGGTCCTTTTTCATTGAGCTTGAGGGTTGTGTTCCGGCGGCTGGCGGCCTCTCTCATCTGGCAAATATTTGGGTAGGTCCACCCATCTGAGCCACATACAGGGCCCTTTTCCTGACACACACATGTAGGCTCTGGCTCAGTCCTGTGTCCCCCCTTTCGCGTTTTCCTCTGGCAGACCAGGCCCTCTCCACAGCGGCCATAGAACTTCTGAGCCCCATCCGGGTCGCACTGCTGCCCCTCCACGTTAGCACACTGTTCACAGCATCCACAGTCGTCCTGCACCCGACCTGCAGGGCAGTCGTTGGGGAATGGGGGGCAGAGGTGTTGGATGCACTCGCTGCAGCCCTCGCCCTCCTCCCACAGTCGCAGCCACCCACGGTGCTGGGGTGGCACCCCAAGAGAAGCGTGGAGCCACACACACATGCATAGACAGACACATAGGCAAAGCTGAGCCATGCTGCTGACCTTCATCAGCACAAAAAGTCAGAAATGAATGTCTTCCTGGTGCAACAACTTGAAAGCACACAGTTGACCCAAAATGAAATAGTAAAATGATTACAAACTGAACTAAATTTATAAGAGAGATTGCAGTCCTGATGTTCTGGTTTTCTCTGACAGTCAAACAGTCACATGTTGTTCCTGTTTAAATGTTTCCTTCTGTCTCCTCTCCTCTGTCCTCTTCTGAATAGTTGGATTGGTTTTGGTTATTATTACCATACCCCTGCTGACTTATTTTGCCATTTTGTTTTCCCCCTTGAGATATCTTCATCAGCTGCTAGTCCTTTCTATCAAAGAGACAGCATTTGCAGTGAATGAAGCAAGCAAACTTCATCTCTAAGGTATCCGATTTGTCTCATCTTTCTTTCCTCACAATTCTGCTGCCTTTCTTCATGTGCCAGTGTCTCTGGGCAGGGCTGGGCTGGCAAACAGGCTTCAGAAATGGCACAGGATATAAAAGAATCCTGCTAAATCTGCATATCATACAAATGTAACAGAAAACAACTGCTGTCTATGTGAAAATAATGATCCCAATATATATTTAACATGCGTTATTTAGCACAGAAGAATCGAAAGTTAATAGAAAATGCAGCTCTATTTTTAAAACTCTCTATCTAGTGGAGTAGTGCAAAATTCCTGGGTTTGTAGACATTTTCTGATGATTTCATGATGATTTCAGTTAGTGTTGTGGAGGTTGGGCATGAGTTTTTGTCAATAAATGGAATGCATGGGAAAGGAAGCAAATCATTTTAAGAAAAACTTAAAATAAAATATACAATATAATTCTAAATTTATAATTAGGTAGGAGTTTATTGTTGATGTCTTTTTTATTTGTTTTTTTATTTCCCTCAATCTATTTTACTTTGACACTTTTAATACAGTTTTACATATAGTTTTATTTTATTTAATTACATATTAAATTTCATTATATACAAATTAGTATTACAATTTGGGTCTGGTGCCTTTCTATATATAGCTTTTTAATAATATTAAGACATATATGTATCCTGTATGTTTCTAATATGCTGTGTGTGTGTGTGTGTGTGTGTGTGTGTGTGTGTGTGTGTGTGTGTGTGTGTGTAGACCTATGTCTGTCCACGTCCTGTGTGACCTAAGCCAGTTTCATTACTGTGACAGTGGTGACTTAATTGTTTGGAGATCTTCAGGCAGGTTTGGTAAGGTTTTATCTGCTTGTTATGTGTTGAGAATATTTGTTAAGGGACTTTGTTGATGTAACAGGGAAAGGTAAGACAGGTCTTGCTTAGAGTAATTTAGCTGACCCCATAATTGTTTTCTGACATTCTAGCTTTAGGCATTTCTCACATGTGTCCTTGTCAGGAAGACAACAATAGAGTGATTAGTTGGAGATAGTAGCTCAGGTGTCAGGCTAGCAGATATCAGTGTTCTCTGAGAATCTTACAAGCTTGAGTCTTACAAGAATGTTTACAAGAACTCACTGGCTCCACAGATTGGAGTACAACTCATGGAAAGTGATAGATTTCAATATGACGAAGGATTGTAGTCTAAACATCAGATAGATTAGTTGTTCTAGGTGAGAGATTACTTAATAGAGAAACCTACAGGCACTAGGGGGAAGAGAGAAACATAAAAGGGACCAAAAGATGTTATCCTTCAGATTTGGTGTTGGCATTTGACGTGTTCACATGATGTATGCTGACACTGTATCTCCTTGGCTGGGCTCAATGAACAATGCTATGTTAAGTCTTCATCAGTCTCTGACTAACTTCTTCACACCTGAACCTGGCTCACAATATTTCTTCAACATTATGAAAACAATAATAAAACGTTAATCGGAAAAATGATCACACTTCCTATCCTACTGTTATTTTCTTATGTACATCTATGGCATGTGCAACCTATCTATCAAACATATAGTAAATATGTCGTGTAAGAATATGTGAGTCAGTTTGCTGATGGTTAAGTGATTGGTTCTGTCAGTTTATTAATTAGATTTTATTTTTTATTTTTAAAGTAGGCCTATCTGTAGCTGCATTGCTGCATAAAGCTTTGCTGTCTGTAAATGCCCTGGATTTCCTTTTTAAGTAACGTGGCACTTCCCTTTTGCCATCTGGTATGATTGAACACAGAAGTGGATGCCCGGCACAGTCGACTCCTTGTGTGAATGGATGGAGGCGTGGCTTTAGTAGCGTGCTGTCTGACGTCACGGCAGGGATTTTAGAGGACCGTGAAGGTAGCGACAATTCATAGTGTGAATCCGTTTTATACTTTAAAATACACACTGAAAACGGAAAGATGCCGACATTAACATACGTTCATTGGCAGTTGTTGTTATCCTACACATGATCCTACATGGCATTGACTCGCCCACTGACCAGCTGGTTTTCGTGACAGTTCAAGCTAAAGTGAATGTAATGTCGTGTAGTGCGAATTTAGGCATGTGTGTGCTTTTATTTTGAAGGAACGCATACAGGAAGCAGTGCGCCAATCGTTAACTTTACTTGTTCCACGTTTCCCAGGAAGTATAGAAATGTCTGAAGGAGAGAGGGGGAACTTGACTAAATGAACTTTTATACACCTTAGTCCTGTCTTTAAAACACCTTCCCTGCTCCTCCTGGTTTTACCAAGGGACTCTGCCGCAAACGACAATTTACACTCTTATTGGCAAATTTAGTAAGTATTTTCACTGACATCAGCTGTCATTCAATGCGATGTGGTCTCAGTTTGACAATTTGTCAAGGAAGTTGTAGCTTACCCTTTTGCTCACTGGGTTAGACATTGTTTTAGTTATTTAGCCTTGAGTTGAACAAGCAACGATTCAGTAAAAACACATTTTAAGTGGGGTTTTTGATTTAGTTACACACATACCATAATAATTTATCATTTGATTTGTTTTATTGTATAGTCTAGTCTCAAACGCTCAAGTACAGAATACAATACTGTTAAAGGGAGCATTAGAAGGTTTGTGGATGTAGCCTGGATTTGGTCTGTATGCCTACTGTGTTCATGGCAGTAGTTTTCAATGAAATTAAATCGTAAAATATTTATAATGTAAGTATGTTGCAGCTGATTTAGAGTTTGTAAAGACAAGGTATGCTTATGCTCTCTCAAAAGATAAGAATAGCCTACAACAACGAAAAGTAGTAGTTTCATGTAACAATCACTTTTCTTGTTTTATGAGGTTAGTCTTGAACCTGCTGACGTGGGACAATGTGGGTGGGTCACATATCTGTCAAGCCTTTCAGGTGTGCTCAAAAGGGCTCCGACTAAAGGATATCCTGTTTTTCCAGAGCAGCTCAGTAATGTGCCCTCAAGGTATTCTGCTTGAATGAGAGGATTTTGATTGGAGGGCTGATTGTATGAACTACATTGTATGTTGTATTTGACAGGTCTGAGAATGGCAGAGAAGGTGCTGGTGACAGGTGGAGCGGGCTACATTGGGAGTCACTGTGTGGTGGAGCTCATTGAAGCAGGTTACACGCCAGTCGTAGTAGATAACTTCAGTAACGCTGTAAAAGGTAAGCCCGCTTACTGAAAAAACAGGCGGCTGAATAACTTCATACGTCATCATAAACTTGGCTGTTCCTAGTGTGTTTGTTTAGGATAAAGTGATACTCATATCTGATGTTTGTGTGCGTGTGTGCGTGTGTGTGTGTGTGTGCGTGTGTGCGTGTGCGTGTGTGTGTGTGTGTGTGTGTGTGTGTGTGTGTGTGTGTTCTACGTCCTGTTGTGAATGGAGGAGAAGGGGATGTGCCAGAGAGCATACTTAGGATAGAGAAGCTCCTGGGCACCAGCATTGAGTTTCATGAACTCGATCTTTTGGACCAACCTGGCTTGGAAAAACTCTTCAAGAAGGTCAGAAAGTTCATACAGTTGATTTATTAATCTTTTCAGAGTTTGAACAGTTACTTGATTAACTGCTTAGTCGGTCGACAGAAAATTCATCAAGCAATTAACTGTTTTAATCACTTTTCAAGCCAAAATGCCCAATATTTGCTGTCCTCTAATATAAGGGTGTTTTGTTTTCTTTGGCATGTATGATAGAAGATGAAATATCTTCAGGGTTTGGATTGTTGTTTAGATAAAACAAGCAATTCCAATATGTCAGCTTTGGCTCTGTGAAATTACATTTTGGCATTCTGACATTTTCAAGACAAATTAATAATTGATTAATAAAGAAAATATTTGGCAGATTTCTCCATACTCAGTCTGATAAATACACCAGTCATTTTTGGGACAATAAAATAATAATAGCTTTTATAAACTTTTTTTTTGACAGAAAAGGGTGAACATAATCATAACATACTGTATTTAACTTGCATAATTCTTATGGAAGGTCCTTTCACATTGGTCATACCCATCATACATGCCCATATATCTATCTGTGTTGCAGCATTCTTTCAGTGCGGTGATGCACTTTGCTGGTCTGAAGGCTGTTGGAGAGTCTGTGGAGCAGCCGCTGCGCTACTACAGAGTCAACCTCACCGCCTCCATGAACCTACTTGAGGTCAGTTTGTCATTTGATCCGAAACCGTCTGTCCTCCAATATATCTGCACTCCAGTCATCCCTCTGGACTGATCATCTCTACATTCATTTACTGAGTGCATGACAGTGTGTGTTCGTTTGATACTGATTTGGCTAATTCTAACACTGCACCCTTCATAACTGTGAATGTGTGGAGCTCACTGTGTCTGCCAAAACACAGCGTTTATGCTTACTCCTAAAGTGTATGTGTACACTTTAGACTGCTATCTCACCGGCCGTTGACTGTATGTGTGTGCCGTGTTTGTTTGCATCTGCATGTGTCTCAGGTGATGCAGGCTCACAGGGTGCAAAATCTGGTCTTCAGCAGCTCAGCCACGGTGTATGGAGACCCTCAGCACCTTCCAATCGACGAGCAGCACCCTGTGGGTGGCTGCACCAACCCCTACGGCAAGACCAAGTA